TTTGTTTTCTCAGATATTTATGTTCTCTTCTTGCTTACTCCAGGGTTGGTAGCATAGTTGGACTGCCATTCAGATAGAACAGGCTGTATTCAAGACAACCTTCTGCGTTTACTTTAAGACTTACATAATTTATTTCTCTTTTGTCTGTACTATAGTCTTGTGCATATGTAGTTGAACAAACAGTGGAATTTTTGTCTCTCTTTGTGGATGTGTGGCCTAAAAATTTGAATGTCTGGTGAGAGAGAGCCATGTGTAATAGGTCAGAGAAAAGAACAGCTCTCAACTCCTGATTAGTGCCTGTGATGTGCTTACCTTTGTGTTTATCTGGCCTAGCACGCTGTGACTTTAAAACAGGAAGAAGTTTTACTGTCTCGAGGCTCTTCTCACCTGTTGAGTCTGGCACATCAGGAAACACCTCACCTGTGATAGTGCCCTTTTACCACATTTACTTCATTTGCAGCAAAAATTGAGTTGCCTCGAGAAGTCCTACATCAAGCTGGACTTTTCCCTTCCAGAAATGAGATCAAGTATCTGCTTACTTTGGTATTCGGTGGACTGTTTGAACGTGGCTCCAAAAAAAAATGCAAGGATGGGAGGATGTCTGTAAGCCAGGCCAAGGAGGAAATGCAAAGAAAAGTGAACCTACTGTTCTTGCCACCCCTCACCCCTCTCTGTTTGCTTATCATTGGTTGCCTTATTGTGCATAAAGTTGTTTTCAATGCAATGCTTGTCAAATAAATATTGTGAACTCTTTTGTAAATGAAACGTATTATGTTGAAAGCTGTCAGCAGTTCAAAAATAAGCTTTTTTTGTTGTTGTTTGAAGACAAAATGTGTTAGATGAAACCAAAAAGCCAAAAAAAAGTACTTTCATATATAGCACCTATTTGAATATAATCTTTCTTTATGATCTCTTATAGCATAGCCTTTTCAGTGCTGAGAATCTTTATGTAATATTTTGTTGTAATAACGGCTTGCTCATGAAGTACATGGTCAAAATACAAAGTTGGAAGATGTCAAGTAACTTGGCGAGACTTGCTGCAAATCCTTGCAGAATGGAGATGGCTCTGCCCGCCGGCTGTCTCTCTGTCCAACCTCTCTCCAACCATTGCCTGCTCTGAGATGTCCCATTGCAGCAAGCTGCACCCAGAGTCACTCTTTTGGAATATTTTCACTTTAGACTGTGTCACAGGCAGAAAAGGAGTTGACGGAGAATGGACTCTTAGAAACTGACATGTTCGAATCAGTGCTAGAGGGAACAGATTGTGAATTTTGTTTACAGCATCCAATATTTGGATTTTTTTTTTTGTAAATAAAAAGAAGTTATTTTTTTCTATTGATCTGTGTGTTGACTTGTGTCTGTGCTGGCTAGACTGTTATCATCTGAATCCAACCCGTGTCTGTGAGAAAAGACAAGGCAGGATTTGGGGAAGACCAACCTTCATCAACTTCTGATTGGAATATAATTCATTAAAATGCCCAGCTTTCCACCAGCCCATCTCTGACTGGCTCAGTGAGCTCTAAAATAACCTAGGTGATGGCTGCTGGCATTTTTAATCTGGCCATTAACTTAGCTGTGTTAAGCTACCCAGTCAGAGCTGTTTTCCAGTATCAGTAGAGACTTACGGCTCTGAGCAGCCGGGCTCCAGTAGCCCTGAGTGGGCCTTGGTTTTCGCGAGTAGCCCACGTGCTGTGATTCAGTCGTCTGTTTTTATATACATATATCATCTGTTTGAGGCTCTGTAGTGTTATTCAGAGTGTTTGCATCTGGAGGAAGGGAATACATTTGGGGAGCCAATAACTGGAAGGGGACGGGGAAGGGAGAGTGATCACAGGATCTCAAATGTACTGTGTGTTCGTGCATGTGCTGGATGCAAAGAATTGGCCCTTTTGACGAGCACTGAATGTCATCTCACCTGTTCACATCGCCAGGGAGTGTACATGTATTTATTAATTTGTGTGTGTGTGTAGTTTTGGAGACTTTCTCAATACTAGTCGCATGAGAATTTGGTAAGCCTAGACTATTACAGGACATACTTGTGGTTTTTAAAACCATTTAAAGTCCTGATGTTGGACAGAATGTATGCTTGACACTACATCTATGAAAGAACCAATTCTGATATTAAAAGCCAGCTGCCCTCACATATACATCATAAAAATGCAAAGTGGTTATTTGGTTTGGTGGTGGTATTTGTGTGTTATTCTCTTCCTTTGTTGCAACCTCTTCATTCTTCTACAACCATCCCTCACATGTCTGTGGTCATCACATAATTCTTTTTAAGTGAAGGTTGAATAAGGACAGTATATGTTAAGCTCCTCCTGGACTTTGGTACAC